TTTAGCAAAGCCTCAGATCAACCAACGTTTCTTTGTGGATATAACTTTACAAATTCCAAACATATTTAATAAAGAATAACAGAACATGAAAACAATGCATCCATGCAGCCTGCACAAAATCATATGTTTTAAAAATCAATGACAAAGATACTATAAGCATTTATACGCATCAACATGATGAAGAGGTTAAAAAGAATCGTTTAACTTTAAAAGAATCATAGAAGATTAATAGTTTTTAATAACGTGGATTTAGCTATAGACGAGCAGAAAAGTCTGGGTGATGACATCGTGATGACAGTGTAGATCATGAGATTTTTTTTCTTCGGAATGAACGGGTTGATTCCGTTGATAGAAGCATATATCAAATAGGTGGTTAGGAAAAGCGAATTCTGTCATGGTTCAGTTGGTAACAGAAGAGGTCGTGGCGACTTAGTCATATAACCAAACCACAAAGAATTTGTGATTTGGTTTGCGGTATTTTTGAAAAGGTAGACATTTATATAAGTAAATGTATTGGCAATGCAACCGATAGAGCCTCCAATATGCAAGGTCAATACAATGGATTCAATACCTGGTTAAATACAGTCTCCCCTGGTCAGATTTATGTATGGTATTATGTGCATGTCTTAAATTTAAAAATGGGCGAAGTTAATAAAAAAGCGGTTAAAGTTGCTACCTTGTTTGGTGTTTAAAATTTAATACATGAATTTAGAAAATTGAAATATATATTTCTAATCGGTGAAACCCGTTGGTGGGCAAAAGATAGAGCTCTTACTAAGGTATTCGGAAATCAAAACCTCCGATCAAGAAAGACACGTTACTGATTGTTTGTAAATTGACATATTACAAATATTTTATGATATATATACATCAATTTTTTGGGGGGGCTTAATGATAAGATGAATTTTGTCTTCTTCAAGGCCCAGTCATGTAAATATTTGTTTTTATAAATTACGAGTGTAAATTATTTTCAATCGGCAAATACAATACTAAAAAAAAAAAAAAAAAAAAAAAAAAAAATCAAATTCAGTCCGTTACAGAGCGAAAAGCTCTTGTAGATCCATTGAAATCTTTTGATTTTATTTTGACGGAACAATTGTTTTTGAAAGTGTTTGAGAACACAACGCCATTATCTAAATATTTGAAAACAACCGTAATAGATATACTACAAAAGATGGGTTTGAAGTTCAGACTGGTTTAAAAGATAAAAGATTTAGAGCCAACCAACTACTTGAAAGTAGGGGTGGTAGATTAATCGGTATTTTACATTAATCAATTAACGATTAAATTTCGAAAAATTTATCGATTATTCGATAAATTTTTGATTAATTTTAGGAAAAATGTGTTTATGACTTAATAAAAAGTAATTTATTTTTTTTATGATTTTATTTCTCTTTTCGTCAGATATAATCTTAAAAAACATAAATTATTAACAGTGTCATCATTTAAGCTAGTTCTTAAATTAGTAACAAATAAACCAGCTGCACTAAAACTTCTTTCTGCTTCTATAGAAGACCGGGGAAGACTTAGCATGGCATTATAAATCTTTTCTAAAGAACTTGGCCTGTTTCCAGTGCTTTCGAGTACTGCAATTTCACGTTTAATGCAAGTCAAAACTTCTTTAGGGGAAGACTTACAAGTTAGCCCTTTAGTTTTTCCTGCTGCTGAAGTTGTATTAGATATAATTTCTGCTAATTCTTCAGCTTTAGTTTTTTTCTTAATGGTTCTGTATTACAAGTAGACTCTAACTCAGACTCATATGCTGCTTCTACTTCCTCGTGTAGAAATAAACGTAGGTATATTTCTAAAGCAGTTTTAGAAATTTTATTCTTATATGGGTATTTCAAAAGATTATCTGGATATTCTGAGTCTGATTTATAGTCAGCTTGGTTATTTAAAAAGCACAGTAAACCAGCAGTATTACAATTTCTTCTTTCGACAATTCTCTCCAAGACAACAGTAAATAAATTTTGACCAAATTAGTATTTTGTTCTTTAAGGTTTTGTAGTAAAAACAAAATAATTTTATCAGATTTTATCAGATCACAGTTTCTTATCCCTAGTTCCATGACACTTAACTCTACAACATGTAGAGCCTGAACAATATCAGAAATGTGTTTTATTTCTTCTTCTTTTAAAATTAAATCTGTCCCAGATATATCAACAAGAGCCTTTGCAATAACATTTTTTAAATTTAAGAATCGTTTTAACATACTTATTGAGAATTCCATCTTGTTTTAGTATCCAAAATAGGCTTAAGTTATTTTCCTAAATCTGTTCTACAAATATTTTGAAGGGAATCGTTTTTAAGTGGAGATTTTCTAAAAAGTTTGACTATTTTACGAACCTTCGATATGATAATGCCATAGTCCTCATTAAACTGGATTTCCTGTGAAACAGAGCTAATACTTACCTCATTTTAGCATTCTTCAGTGTCGTTTTCATTATCAGGGATGGAATCAGATGTCTCATTTTCATTCTCATCACTAATTATTTCTTCTTGAGTTGTTTCTATTTCTAAGCATTTTTTCTTATAAAGAGTATCACATACAGCAAGATGAATTTCATGGCAGTAGCAAAGTAATTGTGTATCTCCCATTTCTCATCCTGTTTTTTTCATTACTGATGCACCGTCAGTAACACATCCAAAAATATTATTGATCAAATTCAAGCCAAATTCGTTTAATTTTTCAATAAAAATATTAACAGCTCTTTCTGAAAGCAACAAACCTTTTATTCTAATCATTCCAAGACCACAGTGACATTTGTCTGAACAATGTACATTAAGACATAAATACCTTCTAGTTTTACCGAAATTCACTCATCAAGAGAAATTGAAAATCTTTCTCCTTTTAATTTTAATTAAACAAATGCTGAAGTTCTTGAACAACTTTTAACTTCATTGAGTTTGCGTAGTTCATAACAATTGTCTTTATAGCATGTCGATCATCAGGGATTTTAAGTCCTTGAGCTTTCCATCCATTTTTAATATCCTTGCTATTGGCCAAAATTACAAAAGGGATACAATCAACAGCAGTTAAACGAGCTAATACATCTTCAGCTTTGCTACCTATATTATTACAATAAGCATCAATACTTAGCTGTATATTTTTAGACTTCTCTGAAAGAACTTTTGTCAATAAAATTTTATGTTTGTTCTCTAAATGATACAAGAAACTTGAAGTTGATGAATGGAATTTAAGTTAGACTGAACAATGTTTGCACTTGTATGTTGATTTGTCTTTATCCAATAAAAAATGTTTCCAAACTTCAGACCGGTTTTTTCCAAACAACATTGTAAATGGTGGTCAAGCAGCCGCACTATAAAAAAGCATTGTTTTAGTTTGTTTATAATTATATTTGACCAGATGCCGGATAAAAGTCAACACAAGTCTTGTTCGTTAAAAAAACGCTTGTAAATGTTCGTAAAAATCTTTGGAACAAAACAACGCAAAGTTACGATATTAAAAAAAAAAATTAATCGATTAATCGTTTGTTAATTAATCGATTAATGATTAGTGATTTTTAATCGATTAATTGATTAATCGTTAATCGTTTACCACCCCTACTTGAAAGTGCGAAAGATAAATTTTATGTGAATGTTCACGACAATGTCATGGATCGAATAATCAGTAGTTTAAAAATAGAGATTATATGAGCATGGTAAATGCTGACTTATCTTGTTTAGATCCAAGAAATTTTCGAAAAAATGCCTAGTGACGCATTGCAGCACCTCAGTGGATTGCTTAGAAAATTTGATGCTTGTGTAACGAAAGACCAGCTTCAAACGGAATTGTTGTACTTTGCAAGGAAATGTTTTGAAACAACTCTTGAAGATGAGTATAATTTTCTATTTGACATGGAAGTATCTGTCTCGGACAACATCCGACAATCTAAATTCGTAGAATTTGAAACTGTCTTTATAATCTCAACAGTAGAAAACAGCGAAAGCAACAGAAATAAATGCAAATCTTGCAAAAATTTGTTGTTACTTTGTTCTCCAGAAGTTTAATTTGAGTAGTATTGCGTATTCAAATTTGTTTCTGGTTTACAAACTTGTGTTGACATTATCCGCATCACAAGTTGCTTGTGAAAGGTCATTCTCAAAATTGAGTATATTTTGAACAGATTAAGAAATTTGATGAGCCACTTAAATCTTTCATTCTAATGTCTTGTGAAAAAGACCTTCCTAGAATTACTAACATTGTAATCATTGATGTTTTGGTATTGACTAGCCAAACGATGAAAAAGTTAATACACTAGTCAATAGTGAATAGCATTTGTGTCTACTGTTTACAGACTTCAACATACAGCAGTGTTTTGGAAATATTTATATTTTATCGATATTTAGGCTGGGAAGTTAAAAAAATTTTTTTATACATTTAAATATGCGTTAATTTAGAATTTTTTATTATCTTATTGAACTAATCTTTATTTAAAATTGAACAGCAACTTTTAAAAATTGCAGAAAAGCTGAATATTTTTTATTGTGATAAACTAAACAATAAACAATCAATTTTCTAAAAATACATAACCATACCTAAACCATGGTCATAAGAAATAGGTAGTCTGGCCACTTGCGTTATTAACTATGAAAATATATATTGGTATCCAATTAGCCAATTTAAATTTTGCACAATTTTATTAAAATTTCATCATTCTTAAACAGCATGATGTTATAGGTCTAATCGATAGATGTCATAGGTCTGATTTACTTCTAACAACATGCTGTGTTAAGCATTTAGAAATACAAAAAAAAAATCGAAATAATAAAATAAAATAGGGAGGAGGAAAATTATTGCCTCCCTCTAGTATAAACAGGCGCCTATTATCCTTTTTTAAAATCTGTAACTGCAAGTCCTATATAATTATATAACTTTTTTTAATTTATATTTATGTAATAAGCCCAACAAAGTATAATAAAGATGTCACATTTGGGTGTGATAAAATAAATAAAATTTGGTAATTTTATTAATTTTTTAAATAAATTAACTTTTTTGTAACACTCTAAATAATAATAATAAAAAAAACGTATATACAATTTTATAATTATAGTTTAACTTACTCGCTAAATAAAAAATAAATTGCTAAATAAATATATATAATGTTAAAACTTATGGTCAAATGTTCAACTGACAAAGGAGTGCAACTCCACGTTTGATCCAATGAGAAGAACTGACATCTGAAAGTAATCTGATCTCCATTACATAGTTTGTTGAGTGACCAGTAGTAGATAAAGTTCCGCGTCTCGCACTAGTCTTGTATACAGGACAATCATAATGAAGACTAGCCACCTCAGTTCCTTTTTTGCACGGTTTTAACCAAATCTAAATATAAAAAATTTTAGTAACTTTAATATAAATTATTTGACCTACTGCACGAAATTACTGAAACACTAGTTAATTATAAAAAAGATCAATATTCAGTAGTAAAAATATGTTATATACCTTACATCATATTAGTCATGCCATGTAAAGACCTTGGATACATAATTTTTTTAAGTATATGTAAACATAAATTTAAAGGTTTCGTGTAAAACACGAAACCTTTAAATTTATGTTTACATATACTTAATTTACCCTCTGGAAAAAGTGGTTAATTTGAAACACTCTTTCCAATATGTTGGCATGAAATAGAAGCCGTTAAAAAGAGTTAAAAGCCGCATCATTTTCATTTACTACTATTAATATTATTATCATTACTAAATTTCAGTATCACGGAACAGAATTAAACTTTAAGCTCACCATTAGCTAGCAAGCTAACTCGTATAGCTGCATAAATACAGCCATGAAAAATGATGAACTTTGGTAACTTTACAGTTTGATGATCTAATTTAAAATTGTTGCCATTAAAGGCACTAGCAATCTCGTCTGGAAGAGAACTTCAATTATTTGCAACTTGATTGTTGAAAAAGTTGTATCCAATCAGGCAGCTACTAATAATATTGCAACGAAAGCGTTTGCGATGACTATCGATTGGCGGAGTGGATAAAGTTCATTATATAATAATGAACTAAGCTGTACACTTCAAAAGTGATGAGGCCTTGTATATATATATACAGGCTTCAAGGCCTGTATATATATGTATATATATATACAGGCCTTGCGATAAAGCGTCGGAAGATGTGAATTTTACGTCGTCCAAGAGCGATTTTGCGTGTAGCTAGGGCTATTTGCGTCAAGCAAAAAATTTTTTGTTTGAGTATATTTAAAGATATTTTTGAGCGGAATTTTTATGAAGTAATTTACGATTATTTTAACATTTATTAAAGTATTCTAAAAACCGCATGCAGTTGATATAAAAGTTTGAATTACAAAAAAATAAAATTTATCAAATTTGTTCTTGATTTGATTGATACTAATTGCATTTATTGCTTCTTGCTTAAGGGTGTTTCAGTTGTTAACCACTCTATTGGTGAAAAAATGTTATTTATATTTCCTGTAAATTACCTTTTTAGTTTACTATTGTGGCCTCTTGTTTTCTGAAGTGTTAACTACATTGAGGACTTTGGCGTCATCTGAATACATTTTTCAAATGCTTTTTATTGTTGATATAGGTTATAAATAGTATTGAACCAAGAGCTAAGCTTTGTGGAGCGTCTAAAGTAACATGTTCCTATTCTCATGAAACGTTACCAAGGAGAAGACGTTGTATCTGTTTGAAAGATAGGCATTAATCTGATTTAAGACTTGCCTGGAATTCCATACGTATCAACCATTTTGAGCAACCTCTTTGTCAAATACCTTGGCAAATTCAAAAAAAAGAACATCAAAATAAAGCTTCATAATGCAGTGTAGGAAATTCGTAGTTTGAGATAAATTTGTAATTAAAGTTTTTTTTGCTGAAAAATATGTTTGACATTTGGAAAGAAGATTGTTAGATATTAAGATTCTTAGATATTAACTTTCTATTTGACCTATTTCTTTTGATTATTTTATATGGTAAAGAGGTGATAGAAATCGGTCTATAGTTTGTTTAATTGGTCTGTAGTTTGTTTTTTTATCTTAGAGCCATTTTTGAACAACGGACTTTTATTCACTTTAAGGCAAGACTTTGGTACTATTCTTTGTTCTGTTTACATTTAAAAAATTGCAGCAAAGAGCTGCTATTATGTTGAATGCATGAAATCTTGATTTGTCTTAGGCATATAAATTTGTAATAAAATTTACCACATCTATTTGGACAGGTTTTTAGAATTTCTTACTTTATAAATAAACTTTATAAATTTCCTACTTTCTAAATAAAGTGGTAAAATGATTATAGTCAAAGCAATTATTATGTGCAGTGACTTTGTGGACTAGTTTCTAAAGAAATAATTTCATTACAAAATTGACATTACTATCTACATTACAGTAAGTCAATTAAGTGATTATGAGATCAAGAATATGTTGTTGTGGTATCAAGAATATGTTGTTGTGGTATCAAGAATATGTTGTTGTGGTATCAAGAATATGTTGTTGTGGTATCAAGAATATTTTCTTTGTTAAGGGAATGGTTAGCATATTATGGTCCATAATCTTTCAGGTTAATCATTTTACATTAGTTGAACTTTGTTATCAAATCAATAAACTATAAAAGGAAAATAATTTATTCTGGTTTCAGACATATATATCATTTGAAAATATTATGATTCTGATGTTTCAAACCTAAACTTTTACTTCCTTAAAAGATCATTTGTTGTTCGGGATTTAAATGATGTCTCGAAATGAAAATTATTTTTTTGGATTATCAAGTTATTCAAACATCATGTCAAACTCAAATTACAAACATAAATCTGGAGCTCAAAAGAGAAAACTTAAAAATGAGATAAGATCAAAAGAATCTCTTGGTAATCAATCAATAACCAAATTTTTGATTCCAGAGACTAAAAAAAAAATATTGAGGATTCCAGAGAGTATAACTGTAGCATTGATGTCAGAGCTGAATATCATTTTGAAATAGATTCAATAGGTGAAAAATCAGACAGGAAACGCATGGATCCACCACTTCTGAGGGACAAGACACAAGAGATAAGTCGAACAATAGTGTAACAAAAAAAGAATTAAACACAGATTATACTTTTGATTCTGATGTAATTAAAAACACTGAGATAATTATTGATGATCCTGGTACATTGCCTAAAATGATTTCAGTATCATCTTCAGCTTTGGGGAAGTTAGGCAGATATTTGAAAAATTACCTAAGTTTTTATTAGTTTTTCGAAAATATTTTGCAAAGAAAAAATATATTTGAAATTATATTTTTCGGAAAAAAAAAAAAATTTCCAAAAAAAAAGGAAATATGCTCTTCTTGAGTGCTTTTTTATGAATTATTAACACCAACAACAACAAATTTGGTTGCTCTGTTGGTTTGCATACGTTGATTTTTTAAGGTTTTATAAGAGCATAGTTTGCATCTGCTCTAATTTTGGTTGTCTATTTAAGATGATTTATTAGAGTGTATTTGATGTGAAAATAATATTTCCTTTCCAAGATACTCTAGCTGTTCTCACAAAATAACGTTTTCATCCTTAAACTTTGAATTTCATTGTCGTGGCTGTTATAAGAGCAAGAAACTCATAGCAGAGTTTATAGTTTTTGCTTAAAGAATAAGTGACTGAATTTGTTTTCAGTTAAGAAGCTGTTAAAAGTAACATAAAAGATCCAACTTTCAACAAATGTCTTGAGTAGCTGTTGTGAAAATTTATAAGTCTAGCTGTTTTTTGTCTCTTTTTCAAAAACTGTGGAAAAAAAAAGGAGGTGATTCTAAACTTATAGATATATTTTTTTAGGCGTTACAGTACATTTTGATGAAATTTAAAATCTAAGAAAATTGAAATTTAATGTAAAGCAATTTGATATCAAAAAATAACTTGTCTCAACCAGTGGATCACTGCTGTAATTTTTGAAGGTATTTTGATTCCTTATCTCAAATCGAGTGGCAGATGTTTCAAATTAATTTTTATTTCTTATTTAAAAGATAATTTCAGAAATTGCCACGAACCTCAGAATACATCACATATTAAAATAAATTAGTCTCAACAAAATATATCAATTGTCTGATAATTTGTTTAAATTAAGACATCGTGGATTGTCTTATTAAATTAAAATAATTTTATATAGAAAATAATAAAAAAAATTTGTTTTAAAATGAGCCTGCAAAGAGTAAGACTTCATTCAGAAAATAAAAGATTGATCTGTTTTTATTGTGTTGAGAGAAACAAAAAATGCTTATCTTTGCAGAAAAATAGTTTATTAATTTAACTCATAAAAGAACTCGTCAACCTTGGATTCAATTTGAACATAAACTTGAAACAGATGTAAATTATTTTTCTTTTTAAGTGTACATATGAAACCAACCTTCTATAACACAGACAACAAAGTGGGAAATGAGCGACTAGTTAAACTAGCTAGGTTTATAGCAATATTTTTTTTTTTCACATTGATGTTTCAATTTTTGAGTATTTTGATCTTGCATATCATATTATAATGTAATATTGTAGTATGAAAGGAACTTAATAGCAGTGCTCTTTCGAGCGTGTTTGACATTGTACTCACGAAAGCCATTACACCCGAATTAAAGGCGAAAAAGAGTCACAGCACTTTTTATATCAGAAAAATTTACATCTAATTTACGTACACTTAAATATTTAATACACTTAAAATTACGCAATGTTAAAACATATATCAAGTTTTACAGTTTTATTTTTACTTTAAAATTTGTTTGTGGCAACATATCTTTAATTTTGACTTATAGCATTTATTTACCGTTTTATAAAGTCTTTTGTTAATTAAATACTTTTAAAACGTTAACGAAAAATACGTCTTTGTGTCCAAAGTGGTTAGGTTGCAGCATTCTGAAGTGGATCGCCGTGGTACCTTGCTTACCAACTTTAATTTTTTTTTTCGACTTTATAAAATAAAAAGTAAAACATTATTGAAGTTCAATAGATATTTTTTTTTATAAAGTTTTACTTTTATATAAAAAATGCATTGCGGCAAAAGCTTTCATTTAAAACATTTGCCGTTTTATAAAGTTATTCACTGCATTCCGTCTTGTTTTTTGAATTGTGTTAAAATTTGGCAGTGTAATGTATTTAGTGGCCGCAGTACAACGTGATGATATCCTGTCGCTTGCTTATTAATTTTTTTAAATCTTTTCAAGTTTTCTAAAATACAAATTAAAACATTTTAAAGTTCTATTGTTGATATATAAAGGTGAGTTTCCACTCATCCGTTTTTTCACGGGAACGGGAAAGGGAAGGAAAAAATAATCACGTGGGCATGCGTATTATAAGTTTTAATTTGTCCAAAGTAAAACTGCGCATGCTCAAGTGAATATTTTTCCC